ATCCAGGGGTGAAATCCAGCAGGTTCTGACAGGTTCTGGAGAACCAGTAGCAGAAATTTTGAGTAGTTTGGAGAACCGCCAAAGCCCATCCCTGGCTGGCCCCAGAGTGGGGTGGGAATGGAGATTTTGCAGTACCCTCCCCCTGCCACCCCCCCCAAGCCACACCCACCAAGCTACACCATGCCCACCAAGCCACGCCCACAGAACTGGTAGTAAAAAAATTGAATTTTACCACTGCTTTCATCCCTTCTTTCTTCATTCTTCTCTTTCCTTTTTCTTTCTTTCCTCCCTTCTTCTCTTTCTTTCCTCCTTTCCCCTTCTCTTCATTTCCTTTCTCTTCTTTTTCTTTCTTTCCTTCTTCTCTTTCTTTCCTCCCATCTTCTCTTCCCTTTTTCTTTCTTTTATCCCTTCTTCTCTTTCTTTCCTCCTTTCCCCTTCCCTTTATTTCCCTTCCTAGGATTCACTGTAGAGGGTCAAACAACATTCTGAAACCTTGAAGATGGTTTCCCAACCATACAATGATTACCGTATTCCAAAAGAATAATATCTTGATGGATAAAAGCTTTATTCCCATGGTTCCAACTACATCAAGATTCTGTCCCTTCCCAAATGCCCCTCTTTTCATTTTCACACCCTCTTTCCTGTTCCTTTATAGATCACCAACTACCTGAACTGGGTAGTGCGAAATCTGGCTGACATGGAAGTGCAAATGGGGGCCGTGAAGAAAGTGAACAGCTTTCTCAACATGGAGTCTGAGAATTACGAAGGCACAATGGGTGCGGCATTACCGATGTTGTTTTAACGGGCAAAACCCAGTAAAGTCTGCTGACCAAATATATGAAATTAGTGGCTGGATACCCTTGCTTTGTGACAAAACTATGGGATTGGGCTATGCAGGAGGAATTCGGTTCGGAATCCGTTGTCTCAGTGGTAGTCGGAGAGTGAAACACATAAGGGAATATCACTCCCGCAGCCTTGAGTCCGGAAGCAGTTCCATAGGTGGAAGGCGTAGACAGTTTGATGAGGTAGTGATGTTTAGTATTGTAAGGAGCCCCGCTCCTGAGTGAAGGAGTGGAACATCTGCCAGTTTGAACTGAGGTAACGGCATGTGAGGCAACTGGCAGTTGGAACAGAGTTCTTTTCAGGTGGGGAGTGGGAGTAGAACTCCTTAGCATCAGAGCGTGTTAATTACTCTATAAGAAATACTAATGATGTGATGGTCATTACGAAAAATCCTTTCTTAGCCAGTATAGCTGGCTGGAGAATTCTGGGAGTTGAAGTCCACAAGTCTGAAAGTTGCCAAGGTTGAAAAATCTGTCCTTGCAGATCCGTATTATTCCATATTTCTGAATGGTGAGCTGCTGAAAGCCACTGTGGAATCTGGCAGCCTCAACAATATTAAAGAGCAATTATAGTCTAATCCCCCCCCCCCGCCTTTCTTTTTGGGGGCTGGGGAACAACCAGTTCATTTGACTTCCTTTGCCAGCTATGGAATAAGAAAGGAAGCGTGACCTGGTCTCCTTGGTCAGCCATGAAGAAGGACTGAGGTCAGACATGAATCATGCTACAAGTTTGAAAAGCGGGCCTGATTTGTTTACTTTGCATTAGCCCAGTTGCAAGTAACCTGCCTTGAGATTTGACCTCCGAGCAAGCCAACTTGTCGAAAGTAAATAAATCTTGCTTTGCTACTGCTCTTCGTGACGAATCGCCATCGTCCGAAACAGATTGGGAATGTTGACATTCCAGATGTTGTCTGCATGTTCCATGCGCCTCCTAAGTGATGTAAACTTGGGGGGGGGGGTGTTTCACTTTATCTGGAGATGCAGCCTGGCTGAATCGAAAGGTTCTTCTGAACTGATGTTTTCCACCATCTAAACAGTAACAGAGTTGGAAGGTTCCGTGGAGGTCATCTAGTCCAACCCCCTGCTCAGACAGGAGACCTGTACTAGGGATTCGAACCACCGAACCGCCAACCTTTCCGATCGACAAGCTCAGTGTCTTAGCCACTGAGCCACCCAGATGTATCATGTTGTCTACTTTTCAGATGAATTTCTTTATTATGGTTGCTGAATTA